GTGGAGTGAAACAAAATGTGTGAGACCTGTTGAGTGGAAACGAATATGCTTTGTAAATTTCCACCCAAATCACAATAAAAAAAGAAAATTGACCTTTCTACCAATAGTTTTACCAGTCTTTCCTTTAGGGTTATAGCCAACAGAGCCCGTGAGCATGTTCTACCCCTTTTCCAGCAAGAGTTACTACCCCAGGGAATTAAGTAGAACTTGTATGGTGGGCTCTTTGGGTCAGGCTCTCCAAGTCAGCTGTGATTAGTCTTGAAACCTGGCAATGGTTCTTCACCTCACTAGAGTCAGCTGGGGGACTTTAAACCTACAGAGCCCCAGACTCCTGCTGCAGACCTTTTGAAGCTGAAATTTTGAAGTTGGGCCTGAATCAATTTATTTTCAAAAAGCTCCCATGTAATTATAATCTGCAGCCATGGTATAGAACTATTGGTATTTATAGTAGGCCTTCTCAAACTTTAATATGCCTACAAGTTACCCTGGGATCTTGTTAAAATGTCCATTCAGATACAGTAGGTCTGGGAGAGGGGCCTGAGGCACTGCATTTCTAACTACCAAGTGATGCTGATGCTGCTGAGTTATGGGCCATTGAGTAGGAAGGGTTTATGGGATTCCTTTTCCAGGCAAGTACCCCCAATCTGTTTTGCCTTAATACCCATCCCTTTGGTTGCACGGAAATGTTCATTTTCCCTCTGTCCCATGTATTCTGTCCTCTCATGTTCTCTTCTCCTTTTTCTCCTTTTTTGCTATTAGTGTCGTCTCTTAACAATCCTCCCCACTCTCTTTCTTCCTTGTAGTTATCTTAACATTTAGGCAAAATCCACAGTTATGTCTTCTCGGAAGAGGAGTCTCAAACCCATCCATACAGCCTTCACTCCTTCATGCAACAGACCAATCATCTCATCCATTTTAAATAAGATGGTTCACATTAAATATTGACCTGTAATGACCAATTGTTTTTCATTTCTGTACATTACCAGCCAAAAATAAAATTTAAGAATGTTTTATTGAAAAACTCAAAATCATTATTAAAAAAAAAAAAAAGGACCAGGTTTGTAAGTCTAATAGAGCCTGATGGAACCACTGAGACTATGGAATTGAACCCAGCCAAACAAAAGTCAGGCATATGAGCTGAACATTTGCATTAGGTGGATACACTCCTTGGAGAGATCAATCATGAGAGGATAGAAGGGCTGTGTATGCACAGGGAGACAGCTCAGGGGGCAGGAGTACATGTGTCCTCCTAAGGACACAGGGAAGGGGTAACTATGGGGAGGAAGTGGGAGGGGAGCTGTTGCATTGTGGGAAATTGCAGTCAATGTCATGAGACAGTGTGTGTGAACAACTGTATGGAAAGTGAATTTGCTCTGTAAACTTTCACCCAAATCACAATAAAAATTATTTTAAAAAAAGTTTTATTCAGAGGAAAGGAAATTACATCACAAACTGCAATGAAGTGTAGAATTGAGGATATTTTTCCCTCTCCCTTCAGAGTATGAAGCTGAGCTGCCTCCCTTTCCAGAGAAACACAAAGTCAAACAAGAAGCTGTGATCAATGTGAGTATCACGCAGGCCTTGACCTAAATGAATGGCCCTTAAATGAGAAGACCACTGATAGCAGGTAACAGTGTCATGAGTTAGGGAGGGGCAAAAGAGAAGGCATGGGAGGTAGACTCCAAAACTGGGTGCCAGTTGTAGCTCTGTTTAACAGCATGATTTAAAGTGCATCCTATAATCTCTTTTGAGTCTTAATTTCTGCATCTGTTATATACAACAGAAATCCTCAGCTAACTCACAGAGTCTCTGTGGGGCTTACATGAGATCCTCGATGAGATAGATCACAATAGATTCAGCACTATGCCCATATCAGGGACAGTTGCGGACAGAGCAGGCTTCTCTGTACATGCCATTGTGGACAAGAAGACTCCCAAGGAGATGGGACCAAGTACAGAGCAATCGGGGAGGCCCTCTAGAAGTGAGCCTCAGAATAAAATAGGGACCTGATGGCATTTAAAATAAATAAAAGGGAGTTTCTGAGAGTTAAGGAGACTTGATCAGGGTCACAGGGCTGAAACTAAAATCCCAGTCTTTGGATTTCTAGTCTGTACAGCAGCTGTCTCTGATAGATTCTTGTGTCTACAAACTTTCTTATTCTGTGATTCTATTCTTGCTTTATGGATGCAATACTTTCTCAAATTTCTCTTAAGATTCTAATGATACTTCTCTTCCTGAAACTATTCTCATTTCTCCAAGGTCATTTGTTCTGTTTGGATATCTTGATCTTTTATGCTGTTGATTTTCCTTACCTGTTTAGAGATCCTTGATTGTTATTCAAAATTAAAAGTAGGAACCTAAGTGAATTTTTCTACATAGTTAGTGAAGTTTTCTACAGTTGCACATGTCGGTTTGTTTTCTGGATATGTCTCTTCTCTGAATAGAAGCTTGTGGAGAATGATTGTCTCCTGAAAACTGTGTTTTAGGGTGAGCAGGAAGAGACTTAGTAGTTTTTGGTTGGGCATCCATCGCTTTGCTGTTGAGTCGATTCGGACTCAGCGACCCTGTAAGGACAGTGTAAAACTGCCCTACAGGGTTTCCAAGGCTGTAATCTTTAGGAAGGCCACATCTTTTTCCCTCGTAGCATCTGGTGGACTCAAACTGAACCTTCGGTTAGCAGGTAACCACTTAACCAGTGTGCTACCAAGGCTCCTTTCAGTTAGACGGAGGTCTCCAATGAATGGTCAAAATCACACAGCTTCTACATGAGGTTTTTTTTTTTTTTCTTTTTGGCCACCCTTATGGCAGTCTGAGTAGTTCACTCCTTCTCAGGCTGTTTGTTTATTTACAGAGGAGTCCCTCATTAGGCGTGGGACCAGAACCATTGCCATGAGTCAATTCCAACACATGGGGACCCTTTTTGGGTTTCCATGGTGGTAAATCTTTATGGAAGTAGATTGCCTCATTTTCCTTTTGCCAGCCTTCTGGTTAGCAGTCAAATGCCTTAGGTACTATGCCACCAGAGCTCCTTTAGGGGTGGGAGTGGATATAAAATGTTGTTGTGAATGTAGTTTCAAATGTGTTGAGAAGGGCAGGAGTGGGAGGAGGGAATGTAGGCAATAGGCCAGTGGAGCCCCGGCCAGACTTTCACTCGTTAGGTGCCATCAATTCAGTTCTGGTTCATGGCAACCCCATGTGCAATGGAATAAAACATTGCCGGGCCCTACACCATCTCCGCAGTTATCGCTATGTTTGAGACCACTGTTGAAGCCACT